TATGCAACACCTCAAAGTAACAGGATGGGATCCAAGACTGAATAAAGTATTAACTGAAGGAATCTACATACATAAAACAAGTGGGGCCGGGCTTTGAACAGAAGAGACCAGGTATTCTCACACAAACAAACTGCCCACAGCTAACACCTAATGTTGGACAAAATGTTAATGAAATCCTCAAGATTAAAAAAAAAAAAAAAAAAAAGGTGAACAAGGAATTGAAACTGCAAAGATAAGATAATCAAAATTCAGATACTGGATTTAAAAATAAAAATAGAGAACACCTATTTAAATTTAAATATTAGCAACTTTTTAACTTATCAACAACTTCAAATTGTGCAGAAAAAAATTTCATAGGGCATAAACATACTAAAAAACATTATCCATTGTTTATCTGAAATTTAATTATAACCAGATGGTCTGTATTTTATCTGTCATCCCTATCTCAGGGCCAAATAGTTAATGCTTATCTTGTACCGGAAAAGGAGGCTTTGTATATGCAAAGAGTTGGAGCTTGGCCTGAGAACTTCACAAAAATAAAGGACCATCTGTCTGTCAAAGAGAGCCAATACTGAAATCTGCCTGCACCCCCCTACATCTCTGGGTAAAAGAAAAAAATATGTAGGCCTAATAAGTCTCCCTATCAAAACATAAAACTGGAATTCAAATGTGTATGTACAGTATGGTGGGTAAAATTATAATCTGAGAAATTAAAATTCTAAGAGATTGGTAGTGCTTCTGCATCCAGACAGAAGAATATGCAAACCCACTCAGAGGGAAAGCATCCCTAACTCAGAACTCTTAAAGCTTCCAAAAATGAAGTTCAAACAACATCCCATTATTTAAAAAAGATATACAAAAGTAAACAAATCTCTAAGTGTTAGAAGAAATAACAATAGATATAGATGACTTAAAGACATCAAATGCTGTCATTATCAACTACAGAATGCAAAATGATTACTAATATAAAATAATAAAATGGTTACTAATAAACTGTGGGAAACAGATGTTGATATTTTTGAAAAATAAGCATGAAACATGATATAATAAAAATTATAAGATGCATTGAAAGAGAATTCCTTAAATAAAATTATGTTATTGAAATGTAAAATGCAATAAATGGAGATCAGGGAACTTTTGTGTTTCTGCAACATACTTAGACTGCATGGAGCGGGGAAAAGGCTGTGCCAACAGCCAGAGGTGAGCTGAAAAGCCCCCACAAGCCAGTCCAATCAGGTCACCAGAGCCCAGAGAGGGATCCAGTCAGCGCCAGGGCAGACCAAGGGTGCTCAGAGTGCCCTCCCAACTCCCCAACTTAGACCAGGGACCTATGGCATGTTCACAACATACCTAGACTGCTTGGAGCTGGGAAAGGTCTGCACTCACAGCCAGAAGTGAGCTGAAAAGCCCCCAGTAGCCAGTCCCCATCTGGCTGGCCCAGAGCCCAGAGGGCAATCCAGTCAGTGCCCAGGCAGGCCACAGGCTGATGGAAGTGCCCTCCCGACTCCCCATCCTAGATGTAGGACATTTGGCGTGTTCACGACACACCTAGACTGCGTGGAGCTGGGAAAGGGCTCCACCTACAGCCAGAGGTGAGCTGAAAAGCCCCCACAAGCCTGGCCCCGTCTGGCCACCAGTCTGCTCCCACAGGGGGATCCAGCGATTTGGAGCCCAGCAGGCAATCCTGCCACCACAAGGTAGACTGTGGGACCATAAGACCCTCATGGAATTAAACAGATACAGAAGGAGGAGATTCTCTGTGACAGCAACCACTAACATATTCATAGTACTAATGCCCTTTCAGAATTCAGACATAACAGTTTTTGACTTGATTAGACCACTAGTTTCCGACATCCCAGAAAAAGCACACCAAAAAGATGCCAGCCAGTACCAGCGACACAGTGTCCCAACGCATAGGACAAATTAGAAAACAAGCAGCAGGGAGAAGAAAAACTACATGCAACCAAGCAAGTACTCAGGAAAAAGACACACCACAAAAAGAAAACCACCCACCAGATTGTGACAACAGTGACTTGGAAGAACTTCTGAGCCTTCCAGAAAGAGAATTTAAAACTGCTGTGATTAAAAAACTGACAGAAGTCGTTAAGGTAAACAAGGATCGGAAGAATGAAATTGAGTCCCTAAAGAGGGAAATGAAGGAAATGCAGGAGATCAAAGGATTAATGAAAGAGCTAAAGACCGTGGGAAAAGCAGTGATGGAAGAACAAATAAGCACTCTCGAACACACAGAAATAAAAAGAATCAAAACAGAGAAGGAAAGAGAAGTACAAATGAAAAAGACTGAAGAAAGACTTTGGGAACTATCTGACTCCATGAGGAAAGGAAATATAAGAGTTATAGGAATCCCAGAAGGAGAGGAGAGAGACCTAGGAACAGAGAAATTATTCAAGGAAAAAATTGAAGAGAACTTCCAAACCCGAAGAGAGCTGAAAATAGACATATAAGAAGCAAGAAGAACACCAAACCTCCATGATGAAAGGAAAAATACAGCAAGACACATAATAGTAAAGCTCCCAAGAATCCAAGACAAGGAAAAAATAGTGAAGCTTACAAGAGGGAAGAAACAGATAACATACGAAGGAAAACCAATCAGGCTGACATCAGACGTCTCCGAAGAAACACTACGGGCAAGGAGAGAGTGCAGGGACATAGTCAACAGACTCCATGACAACAAATGTCAACCAAGAATACTCTATCCTGCAAAGCTTTCCTTCCTCTATGAAGAAAGAATAAGGAGCTTCCCAGACAAACAGAAACTCTGGAATTTCATTACGACTAAACCCCCACTCCAAAAAACACTACAATGAGTCCTAAAGCCAGAACCAACAGAGGGATGAATAACAACGAAACAAGGCAAAAAAGAAAAAAAGTTATTAAAGAATAAATAAAAATCAGAGGAAACACAAACAAAACAGCAAATACAGATGCTAACATGTCAATATTAACTCTAAATGTTAATATTGAGTTGGACTAAACTCTTCAATAAAAAGACACGGAGTCGCAGGCTGGATTAAGAAACAAAACCCAACCTTTTCTTGTCTCCATGAAGCACATTTAACTACAAAAGATAAAAATAGACTCAAAGTCATAGGATGGAAAACAATCCTACAAGCAAATGGACCAAAAAAGAAGGCAGGAACAGCTATACTTATATCAGATAAAACTGATTTCAAATTCAAAAAGGTACAAAGAGACCCCAATGGTCACTACATTATAATCAAGAGGACAGTACTTAAAGAAGAAATAACACTCATTAACATATACTCACCAAATGAAGGAGCACCAAAATATATCAGACAACTATTACCATCTCTAAAAACAGACATCAGAGAAAACACATATGTAGGAGACTTCAATGCACCACTATCAACAATGGATAATCAACGAGACAAAAATAAGTAAGAACACTAAAGCTCTAAATAAGGATCTAGAGCTCATGGGCTTAACAGACATCTACAGAACACTAAACCCAAAAAAATCTGAGTACATAAATCATTCTCCAGGATCGATCACATACTGAGACACAAGACAAACATCAACAGAAACGCCAAGACGGAAATCATACCAAACATCTTCTCTTACCATGAAGGCATCAAACTAGAAATAAACCATAAAAAGAAGGCAAGGAACTCTTCTACCTCATGGAGATTGAAACCCACACTACTGGAAGACCACTGGACTAATGAAGAGATCAAAGTAAAAATTAAAAAAATCTGTGCATTGAATAACAAGAAGGACACCAATTTCCTAAATGTATGAATGCAGCAAAAGCAGTAAAAGAGGAAAATATATAGCAATAGAGGCTCACATCAAGAAACAAGAAAGAGAGCCTCCCCAGTGGCACAGCGGTTGAGCGCTGGCTTCTCCCCTCAGCAGTGTATTTCGGGGTCCATCTGCCTGTTCTGCTCCCTGCTCTGGCTCTGGTGAATCCTCTCACCCTCCCGCACTTCTGACTATACCCAGTGCTTGTATAAATAAATAAATAAATCTTTTAAAAAAAAAAAAAAAACTCCAAAGAGGAAATGCAAATGACCAATATCACTTGTAATCAGAGAAATGCAAATCAAAACTATAATGAGATACCATCTTATACCAGTGAGAATGATACATACTAAAAAAACTAGCAACAACAAATGTTGGTGAGGATGTAGAGAAAAAGGAACTCTCCTGCATTGCTGGTTGGAGTGCAAACTGGTCCAACCACTATGGAAAGCTGTGTGGAGATTCCTCAACCTGCTAAAGATGGAGCTTCCATATGATCTAGCAACTCCACACCTAGGTATTTTACCCAAAGGACACAGAAACATTAATTCAAAAGGGCACCTGCACCCCTATGTTTATAGCAGCACTATTTACAATAGGTAAGCTATGGAAACAACCCAAATGCCCCAAAATAAATGACTGGATCAAGAAGACGTGGTACATATACACCATGGAATATTACTCAGCATTCAAAAAAGATAAACACATGCAATTTGCAGCAACATGGATGGCGCTGGAAGGGATCATGCTCAGCGAAATAAGCCAGAAAGGAAAAGAAAAATACTGGATGGTCTCACTCATAGAACGAATTTAGAAAACCTAAATAAGTGACCAGGAAAAAGACTAATTATAATAAAGTAAAAATCAAAATCAACAAGCAACTATAAACCAGAGACACACTACAGGGCAGGGAGGAGGGAGTAGGATCAAAACAAAGGGGGGTGGGAATTGTATGGGGACTATAACCAAGATGAAAATACTAACATTGTGCAAAAATGAAAAATGATGTAAAAAATATATACAATTAAAAAAATAGTAATAATGAATAATACTGAATTTTAAAAAAAGAAGACAGGTCTCCCAAGGAAAACGGGAAACCATCAAGTGGCAATTCACCAAAGAAAGGAATGTAAACAGACAATACATATTTATAATACATTATCAGTATTATAAACCGATAATACTAAAAAAAAGTAAATTGAAACCAAACTCATTACCTTTCTTTGCTTTGAGGGGTTCCTGCGCATTGTCCCGGGTTACCACGGTAAGCGGAAGGGAAACTTCACGATGTTGACACATGGAGCCTCCATGTTCTGCAAATGAAGAGGAAGGATATCCTCGAACCCTTGCAGCAGGAACCCAGTTATAAGACACCAACCTTGACTTGCAAGTGGGACAGTCTTCAACAAGAGAAGCCATGGCATCTACTTTATAAATCTGAAGAGAAACCAGGAGAAGCTTCTGCTGGCAGCTGAAAACCTGACTGAAAATCAATGTCAAACTGTCCAGAAAAACAGGCCAGCGAGCTGTGGCATTAGCTTGTACTACGGGAGCCACTTCTGTCTCTGGCCGCCTCGCTCCTTGGGACGCTCACTACCCTGATGCAGGCAGCCTCCCGGAAGCCACAACTGTGGTGGTCATTGACTCCACCGGCCTCTCACGGAGGCGTTTTATGTTAACCTGCCTCCCGTGTGGCTCCGGGCCACGCCGCTCTCCTCCGCACTCTGTGGCCCTCCCATTCCTGCCACGAGAGGAGGGGCGCTGGGCGAGTCTACGGCGGAGCCCGCTGACAGGAAGGTCTGCGCATGCGTGCCTCCATCTCCCAGGGACACCCGCGGGAGGGCCGCCTGCCCGGGCCCTGCTTCTGCTGAGGTCCTGACACCATTGAGGAGGAGCAGGCTCATGTGCCCAAGGAGGAAATTGAGAGTCAATGGACTACTCCAGCTCTAGATTTTACTGTTACTCCGGAAAGTCGGGGAGACTGGCCTGAAGGCACGGAGGTGGCGGTTCCTTCCCAAGGACTTGGAGTCGCAGCTGCCACCGAAGACCAGTCCTCAGTGCCCATCGCTCCAGCCACTGGGCAGGGACAACTGCTGGGTGGTCTTAACTGCTCTGCTGCAGAAAAGGGAAATAACAGTGATGGAAAATCAACAGTTTCTATAATATTGATACAGATGTAACATTGATATCGGACTCTTGGTCCAATAACATAACAAAATAATAAAATCTTGGTTAAGAATTAATAGAATGATAATACCTATTATCAGTGAAGGATTAGAGAACCAGACCTTCTCACAAACGTTGCTGAATTGAATGTAAATTGATGCAAACTTTCTATAATGTGTTTGAAATTGAAAACTATATATGCTCTTTTACGTAGGATTTATATTTTTTTAAAATTCATCCTAAGGAAATAAGTACACATTTGCCCAAAGATTTTTTTTCTGTAAAATAGCTTGTCCCAGAATATTTATACCTGAAAAGTGAAATATGAGAGAAAAATAAGAAACTTTTTTAAAAAATTAGAACAAATGAAACTGTCATTTTTCATAAATGACATATATAGAACATCCAAACGGATCTACAGACCTTTTATTAATTATGGAAATGTAAAGAGCCAAGAGTAATTAATGCAATATTGAGGAAGAACAAAACAGGGATTTAAACTACCAGATACGAGATTCATAGTAAAGTCATATTCATTAAACAGTGTGGATATTGGCATAACAAATTAATGGAACAGAATAGTGTCCAGGTACAGACCCACACATGTATGGTTAGAACAATGTGACATTCATGGAGAAAGTAATTTATTCATGGATCAATAAATCGACCTGGGTCAGCTGTCTGTATGGGGCAAAAAATAGACACTGTGGTAGCAGAATACTAAGATGGTCTCCCTTGATTTCTGCCCCTTAGTACTCATGCCTTTACAAAGTCCCTCCTCTGGAGTGTTACCAGAATCTGTAACTAGCTTATCAGACAGAATATGATAACAGCGAAAGGATTATTTCAGATGTAACGTCTCTGATCAATTGAGTAATGAAAAGGCAAATTATCCTAAATTGACTCAGTTCACCAAAGAGCTATTTATAAAGTAGGATTTAAGGGTCAACAGCATCCCATAGCAGCAAGATGTCCCTCTCTCCCTTGAGGGATCTGCATAAACACACTACCATGAATTCCATAGCCACAAGAAAATAAACTCTACTAATGATCATATGAACTGTGAAGAGGGCCTTAAACATCAGCTGAGATGCCATACTAGTCTTGCTAGCAACTTTGTAAGTCTCTGACTAGCAGACCCAACTAAGTATTTGCAAGATTGCTGACTTACAGAAAATATAATTAAAATATGTTGTTTTCAGCTACTAAACTTACAATGATTTGTTCACAACAATAAAAAGCTAATACAGATATCCTTAACTTAGACGATACCAAAAAACACCTAATTCTCAGCCCTCCCTGGTGGCGCAGCAGGTCAAGCACAGCGCTGTGAAGCTGTCCACAGCCTCTGCAGCATGGGTTCAATTCCCGACTGGCCAGGGAGATACCTCCTGTCTCACCCGCTGCTCCCCTCAGCAGTGTTTTCGGTCCATCTGCCTGTTCTACTCCCTGCTCTGTCTCTGGTGAATCCTCTCACCCTCCCGTGCCTCTGGCCTATACCCCAGTTCTTGTATAAATAAAATAAATCTTTAAAAAAAAAAAAAGGACAAAGCTCTACCATATTACTGCACACTCACCCAAATATATGAAGTAAATAGACAATTGCCATCATCTGGTAAGATATGATGGGAGCCTGGATTAGACTGGTGATTAAAGGGGGTTGAAACATGGCTACATTTAGGAGACGCTCAGAAGATGCAACCAATAGGATGAGGTGATATTGTTATAATAAGTAAGAGAGATGATGGAGTCAAATTCCCTGGCCAGTGTTCCCTTTAATGCAAAGGGTTAAAGGTCCTGCAGTGGAAAGTTCAACATCTGGCCACCTTGAGAAATTTAAGAGTCTGGCATAGTTTCACTAAAAAAGTTTTTATACATTACAGATTAAAAAAATTTCCCTGAAAATCTTCCCATGTATGGTTCCTTCAAATAACAGGCTTTGAAGCTATAGACAAAATGGTTACTAAAGAGATTTTCATAAAGATGGGCCATCAGCACACATTTGATGCACTCATAAGGTATGCTATTAGATGTATAAATATAAATAATATATATGCCTTGCTTTAAATATATATATATACATATATTCTTCATACATATCCCAGTGTGTTGTCAATATAGTCTGTGAAATTGCAAGCAATTTCATCTGTGAATAGCTCTACCTCCACCTACATCAGGCTGTTGATAGTTTCCATTGGTGTTATCCAAGTGAAACTCCTTTCCCTGAGGTTTAACTCCCTATTGGGGAACTGCAACACTTTTGTTACATGTGGGCTCTGTTCCAAAGACTGTTAAATGCAGCTGCAGGAGAGCTCTTGAAATTAAAATCAACAGAAAAAGCCAGAAAGTTGAGTCCAAAAGAAAAAATTACAACTGGGAGTGAAAAACGCCCCTTGGGCCTAAGCAAATCCTTTGTTTTTGCTGTTGTGATTGGTAATCTCAGTAAAGAAAAATGTGAATGCCACCCATTATTTCTAACAGAAGAAAAATATGTATACTAAATATTCTTCAGTTTTATCTGGGTTAAAGATTTATGTCATCTTTAAGATGGTATGTTTTGTTCAATCTGAGAATTGGTCTTTTTTAAATTTTTTTTCAGTCTCGTAGGGCTAGTTTTCTAACGCCAGAAACAGAAAAAACATCCATCCTTCCGCAAATCAGTCACATTATATTGCTACTTTTGTGATCACAGTCATCCCAAGTCAGTCTGTTTCTCTGTATCAACTGAAATGCTTTCAGCTACCAGTAAAATAGCCAACTAAAATGGCTTAAATGACAGGAAAAAAAAGTATATCTTCTAGTACAAGTTCAAAGTAGGGAACCAGTGTTGGTTCAGTTCACTAAGGTCTTTAACAACCAAACCTTTTCTTTCCCCTCAGGCTTATTGTATTGATTTTTATCATCTTTATGGTTCTAATACTGTCATCTATTGTTCCTGCTGACTCTCGCTAATGGAACTTGTGTCCTTGCGTAAGTAAGTGATTTTGTTAGCACTCATTGGAATTTTGGCGTCTTCTGCCTCTGGGCTGAAGGTGGATTTCCTCAGACACCAGAAGCCTTTGCTTCTACATTTAAGAGAGAAATAAAAGTGATAGTAACAATTATTCTCAGCAGGGCTACTCACTTAGTGTGACTACATACTTTGTCATCAAAACTGAGATATTTAAAACAATGAGAGGTATGCTATATTACATATTCATAAAAGAAAAAAGGATTCTAGGAAGAATTTAATATTATAGGTTTGATATGAATTATTTAGGAAGATATGAGTAATATTTTCCTCTCAAAATTGTTGGATTAACAAATAATCTTGGGCAACTAAATCTTGTAGCAATGACATTATTCAACACTTTGACTTTGGTTCACATGTCATCAGAATATTTTTTTCAAATGCAAATTAAAACCACAAATAACCATTACCAAAAAAATGACTAAAATTCAAAAGCCCAACAACGTTAATGTTGATTAGAATGTAGTATCTGGAACCTTGGAACTCATCTGTATTACTGAAATCAGCGCAAATTTTTACACCATTATTTGGCACTATCTATTAAAGCTAAACAAAAACTTATGCTGCCATTAAGCAGTTTCATTCCTAGGTATCTACTCAGGGGGAAATGTGTAAAAACTGATTAAACTATACACTGAAGGCTTGTGCACTTTACAGTACATAAGTTCAGTTAAGAAAAACAGATCACATATATTAAAATAATTTTAAATCAATAAAATTATAAAAATCTAAAAGAAAATGAGGCAAGTAATACAAGCAAAAAGCAAATGGCTTATAGACACAAAAATATGCTCAGCTTATTCATTAAATTAAAATATTAAACAGTACGTAAGAGAACTGATATTGGTTTCTTACAATTGCAATTAAAAGTCCTGACAAGTAGATTTGAAAAATTATTCAGGACATAATTATGTACAAGAATGTGCATGTCAGTATCATTCAAGATAGTAAAATTGAAAAACAACCTAAATATTCACCAATTGTGAACAGTTTTTATAAATCATTATATTTTGATAAATGAAATACTTTGCAAACATTAGAAAAATCTAGTTTTATTGAGTTTACATGAAAATATCACCAAGCTATATTGAGAGAGAAAGATTGAGGAAAATTTTATAATCATAAGCAGAAAATGATTTCAAGTCTATATATTTTTAAAAGATCTGTGGTACAATAGCAACAGGTTATTTTGGAGAATAGAAACTGAAAGCTGTAAGTAGACATATTTTTTATACTTTGTTGAGGGGACATCAGGGTGAGGTCAGAGGCATGGGGGTGAAAGAATTCACCAGAGACAGAGTGGAGAACAGGAACATGTGGAGTTACTGAAATACACTGCTAAGGGAAGCTGAAGGTGAGATGGGAGAAATTTGTGCATGAATGAGGATTTGAGTCTCGCTTTTATACTCTGTTTTTGCAGGCTTTCTAACTTGGGGCATCAGTTGCACCAGTTATCTGCTGGGATGACTGGTGCCCAGTGCTGGCCTTTGACACAGAAATATGTTCTGGCCTCTGCTGTGGCATTCCTGGAGCAGGCCCTGGTTCTTCTGGTCAAGGTGGGCAGTTTTATGGCCTAGTCACCGAGGCCGCCTTA